CAAAACATATACTATATCCATAATTATTTACACCAGTAAAAATACTGAATAGCATTTTAAAACGATTCATTTTGTAAGTATTATCATAAACAATTATATCATTAAATCTACTATAATTAATACGTTGTTCAGGAAATATCCATATTGCTCACTTCAATCTTTTCGTATCTTCATTAATATCAATATAATAAAAAAATTCGGTATCATTATATTTAAATTGATCTAATATGTTTACAAACTCTTCAGCATCTAATTCTCTTTTTTCTAAATCTAATCCTTCTAAATGATAAATAAAATTATAAAGATCATCATATATCCATGTAACATGATCGCCAAATTCTTTTTTTAATATTGTACGTATTGTTAGAACATCTACATCAGCTCGACATAATAATTCTATTCGCTGTTTGACATCATCAGAAATATTCCGCTCATTAGACATAAAAAATCTATGATTTTCTTCGACCATTAGATGATTATGAGTAAGATCTATATTAATAATTTGCCATAACTTATTTAAGTTATTTAAAGAAACACGAATATAAAAAGAGCAACCACAGCATTGAGATACTCGATTTCATTCTTGGTTTAAAATTTTATTATTAGAGTTAGATTCTTTTGGTTTAGCAAAACCAGCTTGAGAACACAGTAACGTTCTTTTTTGAACAGTCTTTTCTTCATTTTCAGATTTGTTATAACATTCGGACTTTCCAAGTCTAATAGTAAAACCAAGATTACGTGTATAACTTTTAATTTTATTAACAAATTCATCATGACTTTCAAAGTTGTCATTAATTTGTGGTTGATATGATAAAGTAGTTAAGCTTTGATTAGACATCAATACTTATTGTTATAAAACATAAATGTACACGTCTAAAAGTAGATATTTGTAAAAGTAATACAAGTTATATATAGGGTATAGATTAAATAATTTGTACCCTCTAGATACAGGATAAGATATCTATACCCCCCAGGTATAGGATAAATTATCTATACCCCCCGAAACAGGTTAAGTTTTCTCAGATATTATACATAGCAACTGCATAAAAATTCGCGGTCTCGTGATGATATACGCTAAAATTTCATTGGCCAAAACAACCACAGATCAAATTAACCTTTTGACGTTAGAATAAGTGAGCATTAAAATGACAATAGAAAAGGCAGAACATATAGCAAAATTTTGCAATGAATTTTTTTTGCTAAAACACAGAAAGTAGTTTTGTAGCTGAAATTTTGGGTTATAGACGATTTTTTAAAAAAAGCCGGCAGTTTGTTTTGTTTTCACGTTATACCTGATCCTGTGTCGTGATTGGTTTAAAATCACATGTCTGCGGACATTTTATGCGGCTGCTATGTATAATATGCAGATCATTGTTCCCAAGAACACCTTCAAAAATTCTGCACACCAATCAGCTTTCAAGATTAGGTGTAATGTGAAATTATGCACTTTTTGAATAATTGTTTGTAGCTCAAAATCTTGCCTATGAAACTGCCTTTTGTGTTCTAACAAAAAAAATTCCTCGCCAAATTTTGATAT